CTGTTGATAAAGAATGAAACCAGACTAACTCAAGTGAAAAGGGGCCAGAAGTTTATAACAGGAAATCTCTTGTACATTCAGAAGTAGTTCATGGACCAGGAACCAAGAACCCTCTGTAGGACTTAGAGCCACATCATCTCAGCTTCTTCTTTTATTTCTGTCTCATTCTTTCTTTTTTTCTCAATCTACCCACTCTGTTTATGCATCTTGAACATGGTTAAAATATGGCCAACCTGATCCTTTCCTTGACATCAAACCCTTTCATTTCTAGCATTTATCGTTGACTAACTATATACTCTCTCTCTCTCTCTCTTTTTTTTTTTTTTTTTTCAGTTTAAATGCTTACGAGAAAGAGATAGTTTTTAGTAGCTGGCCAGGCAATTCATTGACTGGTTTAGACTAAATATCTACTTCAGTCCAACCAGCCATCACTTCTAAACAAGAATTACCTAGTGGTGTCTACCTGCATTGGGAGCTCCAGGTAGAGCAGCCTAAACTTGAAGAACAAATACACTGATATGTTCAATGCTCTATAGAACTGTTAGACTTCCAGGGAACATTTGCTATGTTCTACACACATTTGGAAAACACCTGGTCTGTTTATCTGCCTATAGTCAGGATTTACCCAAAGCTTTCTTCTGAAAGAGCTGTGAAATCCTAAAAAAAAAAGTTGCTCCTAAATTGAATATTGACTCCACCACCTCTGAAACAGAGATTCAGTTTATCACCAGGAGAATGGGGATAATAGCACCTACCTGTTGAAGTTGTCTGAAACATACATGAGATAATGTAGATGCTATTCTCTGCTTGGCACAAGGCAAGAGCTTAGTAAATAGGATTTCTTTCATTTCTTTGACACTTTATGAATATTCCATAACAAAATTTATTTGCAGTGTATTTAAACTTATTTTGTAATTGCATATGTAATATATGGACATATCTGTATATTTAAAAGCATATCATAGCCCTGGCCAGTTTGGCTCAGCGGTTAGAATGTGGGCCTGCAGACCAAAGAGTCTCGGGTTTGATTCCTGGTCAAGGTCACATACTTCAATTGCAGTTTGGTCCTGACCCTGGTTGAGGTCATGCAGGAGGCAACCAATCCATGAATCCATGTGTCTCTCTCCTGTCCTCCCTCCCACTCTGTCTTAAAATCAATGGAAAAATATCCTCAGGTGAGGATTTTTTAAAAATCATATTAAAAGCATACTGTAGACATTATATTATTTCACTGGTAACTATTTTAGGGTTTGTGTTGTGTGTGTGTGTGTGTGTGTGTGTGTGTGTGTGTGTGTGTGTTTTGTTTTTTTGACTGAAAGCACAGCTAATGCTTTTTGCATTCTGTCCAAGAAATCTTTGCCTATAGGGTATGTTTTTAATAAATAAAGTATTTTAAAAAAACATAATCACAATACCATTATCACACCCAATACATTTAAAAATAATTCTTTGATATCACCAGTATGAAATCTATGTTTGATTTTTCTCAATAATCTCAAAAGCATTTTTTATAGTTGTTTGGTTTGCATCAAAATTTGAAAGAAATATATACATTGCACTTTATCAATATCCTATACATCTCAGTCAGTTTGTAACCATTCTCCCTGGTTTTTTATGTCATATATTTGTTGAGAAAAACTGGGGTCATTATTCCTGTAGAATTTTCCAGCTCAGGATTTTTATTTTCATGGCATCATTTAGCAGGTTCTTCTATGCCCACTTTTCCTGAAAACTGGTACATAGATCTAGAAGATTAATTAGGTTTAGATTTAAATTATTTTTCTTGAAAAACTATAAAAATTATTTTATACTACCTTTTATCTTTAATTTTTTTATCCTCACCCGAGGACATTTTTTCATTTTTTGTTCAGATAGAGTGGAAGGGAGAGAGAGGAAGAGAGAGAGAGAAACATCAACGTGAAAGGGACACATTGAGTGGTCGCCACCCGCACAACCCAACCAGGGCTGGGGACAAATTGCAACCCAGGTACGTGCCCTTTAGCGGGAACCAAAGTCGGGTCTCTCTGGACCACAGGCCGACGCTCTAACCGCTGAGCAAAACCAAACCGGCCAGGGCTATCTTTTATCTTTTAAAAGATGTGAATTTGAAATAGCAGCTCAGTAGTTCTCATGACATTTGCACTTAGGAATACAAGATTCTCAAGACAGAGGGAGGTAAGCTATTCACTCTGGTTACTGAGTCATGTATGAGTGAATGATCTGCACTTGGAGAGTTAATGATACTATGATTGCTATATGCCAGAAAATGCAGATAAAAGTCATAATTACCACTTTATCCCTAATCAATTTATTAGGGATGTCTTTAGTCATATATGTGCATCTGTGGCTAAATACATTTACATAGCTTTAATTAAAGATATCAATTCCTGCTCTGGTCGGTTTGGGTCAGTGGTAGAGCATCAGCCCATGGACCAAAGAGTCTTGGGTTTGATTCTGGTCAAGGGCATGTACCTTGATTGTGGTTCAGTTCCCAGCCCTGGTCAGGGTTGTACGGGAAGCAACCAATTGATTTGTCTCTCTCACACTGATGTTTCTCTTTCTCTCCCTGACTCTATCTGAAGATTAAAATGGAAAAAAGTATCCTCAAGTGAGGAATTTTTTTTTAAATGTCAATTCCTTACCTACATTCTAAACTAGAAATAAAAATGTTTGAAGTGACTAGAGAAAGTGCAGGAGGAAAATAGAAATTTCTTTGAAATTTTTGTTTTTTATAAGTGTTTAAAATGAACTAGTACAAATTATTCAGGTACACTGAAGCAGGACTATAGTATTATGCTGGAGTGCTGGGGATGTTCAATAAATATTAGCCCTCTCTTTCCTACCTGAGAGCTAGATGAAGTATTCAGAGAGACAACAATAAAAATAATTGTTTCTGTGTCTGATAAAGCTGTTTGGAGAATGTGACTTAGGTCCACAGCAATAATGAACTTGCAGACACTCTGATCTCCTATATTAGAAGTGCCATTCTCCTAGTCAGGGACACTTAGACAACCATAGGCCTTTCTGAGCCCAAAGCATATGTCATATTTTTCCTCCCAAACTCGCCACTTAATCACTTTCTTCCCTGGAGGGAAGAAGAAAGTGAGTGAGGAGTCAGGGTACAGCCAAGAGTGGTAACTCAGTGGAGGTTTGATCAACATAGAAACAAGCAAAAATAAGTGTTCCTCTGTTACTGAAGTTCATGATATAAGAGTATCATAGGTAGAATCCAGTTTCATTACAGCATTTTCAGCAATGAACACCCTCACACTTAGTTGGTCCCAACTTATATCAACTTCCACACTATAGCAGCTCATGTTCCAGTGAACTAAGTTTGTGGAGTATGTGCAAATCCCAATGCTGGCAGATGCCAAGATGGAAAAAGACACACTCTTTGCCAACCAGGACCTCATCTTCTAGTGGGTTCCCAGACAAGTGCATACAAAATAAGTGTGCAGCCCACAGTGCTAGGCACTGTATGGGAAGTAGTGGCAGACATGGAAATGCTTGGCTCAGACTTCCCCTGAAGAAATGTCTCACTGTCAAGCTGCAGGACCTTGGTTAGCTGACAGCCTCCAATGGTCAGCTCCTTTGGGGTCCACTGCAGCTTTCAAGCTATTATGGTTGTGCTCTTCTTGGGCAGTTCCTGACCAGTGACTGAACCAGGTAGTAACTGAGGTAGAAAAAGAGTGTGACCTCAGCTGATGGCTAAGCAAAGTGGTGATACAAGGGCCTGGCCATTTCTACCCAAGACAAGACACTTCCATTGGGCAATCTTTGCTCCTGAGCTTCCCATTGAGTTGGTGTGGGGTGATCAGCAGTTTTAGTTTTCTGAGACTCAGGGATTTCCCATGACGTAGGACTTTCAGTGCTAAAACTGGGAAATTTTCAGGGAAGCTAAGATGGTTGGTCACCTTGACTGGTGTAGACCTTGTCAGGTCTGCATCAGGTTCTGACAGCTCCCTCTGCCCGATCCTGCTTCCTTCCCTCTTTCCTTTCACAAGTATTACTCCCCAGTAAACGTTTTGTCCTCCTGACTTCATCTCAGTGTCTGCCTCCCAGAACACTTGATCCAAGACAGAGGCATATGTAGCACAGGAACCAGGAAGGACCTAATACTATAAGAGAATATGAGGCTGAAAGAAATTAGGAGGGCTGGGGAAAGACTAATTTGATAATCACAGGAGTGCTTCTGTGTATAACTCTTTCCATTCTATATCTTTTGAAAAAGAAAAAAAGCGTATATGTAAATACTCAATGACTTATGTTTCCCAACACTGCATTTGAATACTTAAAATTAAGGCTTTGCAAACAAATGAAAATTAAAAAAAAAAAAAAAAGGCAACCTCCTTGTCCCTGTGTCCTTCTTTAAACATGCTTTGTTAGCCCTGGCTGGTTTTGCTCAGTGGTTGGAGCATCAGCCCGTGGACCAGAGAGTCCTGGGTTTGGTTCCCGCTAGGGGCACGTACCTCAGTTGCAGTCTGTCCCCAGCCCCGGTTGGGGTTGTGCAGGTGGCAACCAGTTGATGTGTCTCTCTCACATCGATGTTCCTCTCTCTGTCTCTTCTTCCCTCTCTCCCTTCCATTCTATATGAAGATGGATGCAAAAAGGTCCTCTGGTGAGGATAAAAAAATAAAATAAACATGCTTTGTTATTAATTCCTATGATCTATGAAGAAAAATGAAAGGAACTTTATCTTTCCTTAGAATTATTCTTAAAATTAAGAGAGAATGTGAGCAAAATGTTATTGCTGGAGAGAGGGGAAGGCATCCTTCAGGGCTGGAACTAGAATAAGGTGAGTGAGGTACTTGGGGTACAACATTTATGTAGCCACTCACTGTCAGGGTTGTGTGCTGAGTGGGCACTTGCATGAACCTGAGAGTGAGCACCTCCTTAGATATTGCATCCAAGTGCCTCGCTTGCCTCACCCTAATCCCAGCCCTGGTATCCACAATAATATTAGGCAACTTATACAGAACATTTCCTCTTTCCTGCCCCAGGTACAAAGCCATCGTCCGACCAATGGATATCCAGGCCTCTCATGCCCTGATGAAGATCTGCCTCAAAGCCGCATTGATCTGGGTCATCTCCATGCTTCTGGCCATCCCAGAAGCTGTGTTTTCTGATCTACATCCTTTCCATGAGGAAAGTACAAATCAGACCTTCATTAGCTGTGCCCCATACCCACACTCTAATGAGCTGCACCCCAAAATCCACTCCATGGCTTCCTTCCTGATTTTCTACATCATCCCACTGTCAATCATTTCTGTCTACTACTACTTCATTGCCAAAAATCTGATCCAGAGTGCTTACAATCTGCCTGTGGAAGGAAATATACATGTCAAGAAGCAGGTAAGTGCTTAGAACTGATTAATTTCCTCCTTGGGGATTTGATCCCTTGCATTTCTTTGGACTCCACTGACAAATATAATATTTATGTGGTCATATCACCTGATTCTGCAGTTAGAGGAAGTGGGTGATGTTCGTCCAGATGGTAAATGGAAACTCCTAGCCACAGAAGTCCAGGAATTCAGGTGCTCTCTATAGTCTTGTTCTTTTATTAAAGACCTAAGCGACAGAGCTTTTGAGAACCTAAAGGATTTGGAGCATGGGTTTCTTTTTGAGAAATACCTGAAAAAGTGTTGTTTTGTTATTGTTGTTGTCATTATTTATTTTTTTTTCTTAATATTGCTTTTTTATTACTTTTTTTAAAGCTTCCCTTGTTCTTCTTGGTTTATTTCTTTTTATTCATTCAGAAATAACCAACTTATTAGGACAAATTATTTCTTCTTTTAAAAATACAGGGCGTCCCAAAAAATGTTTACACATACAATTGTAAATTCTATTACATTTTGAAAATGAAATGTATTTTAAGAAACACTGCCTTTATAATTATTCCAAGTGTGTTTTGGGACACTGTGTGTGTGTGTGTGTGTGTGTGTGTGTGTGTATTTCTTTCTGTTGGCAATAACATTTCTTTTAAATTTCAAAAGAGAAACCATAAAGAGTATAATTGATAATACAAAAGCTGTCTTATGTACCTTCAGCAATTGTCAACAATTGGGCTATATACACAGGTTTGTAAAAAAAAAAAAAAAAACCTAAAGAACAATTATTATTATTATTATTATTATTGTTATTATTATTATATTGGCAGACAGGTAAAGACAAATAAATAAAGTTCAACATTAATTTGTAAGTATGCAGCCCTCTTCAGGGGCTTGAGATAGCTATCTATCTTTGATATGGCAATTTCTTATTCTTTTTTTCTTTTTTAATCCTCACCAGAGGATATTTTTCCATTTGCCTTCAGATAGAGACGGAGGGAGGGAGGGAGGGAGGGAGGGAGGGAGGGAGGGAGGGAGGGAGGGAGGGAGGGAGGGAAAGAAACATCGATGTGAGAGAGACACATTGACTGGTTGCCACCTGTATGACCCCAACCAGGGACGAACTGCAACTGAGGTACATGCCCTTGGCCAGAATCAAACCTGGGACTCTTTGATCCGTGGGCTGACGCTCTAACTGCTGAGCCAAACCAGCCAGGGTGGCAGTTTCTTATTCTTGAGAAGACTTTGATCTCTGCAGTAGGTGGAAGCAAGTGTCAGGGACAGGGGCAGATGTCCATTTGTGGTTAGGCACCTGATAAGGTCCTTTCCAACAGTGTTGGAGAGAGTCTAATTAATGTCTTTTTCAATGGACAAACGTTTTCTGGTTGTAAGTCATGGTCTGAAGTTTTCATCTCCCAGGAGCATATTGTAAAATGAATGTTACTAATGTATCAGTCCCTATAACCTGGTTAATGAACCCTTGATAATAATGCAGAATGTCTCCTTTTAGTTTTCCTTATATTTGGAAAGCAAAAAGATTTGAAAACTCACCAATATTTTGAACAAATTTATAAGAATAATAATTATCCTTAGTTCAGTGAGTATCATAACCAATTTTTTTATTCTGATTATTTGCCAGTATTTTTATTAACTCAGTTATTTTTCTTAAGAGTTCTATAAATTATCTAGTTCAAAGATATGACCTGCTTAGAAACCTGCAATTTAGAGTAAGTCAGGGTCCTTTTCGTGGATCTTTCTAAAGATATAACATATTTGCAAATGTATTAGAGTAAAACAACTGTCTATAAATGATAAAACCTAAAATGACATGGTTATATATTTGATTATAATGCAATTGATTTTTTAAATATTTGATTTTCTGTAACATATAACATTCCAAGATAACAATCTCTTAGTAAATAATAATTACTGTAAAATGACATAAAAGAACAATATAAAGCCAATATTTTTTAGATTCAGTACACAATTTCAGTATGTAAAGAACAAATAATATGCAAGACTTTAAAACTCTGCACATGGCTTATTGGAAGTGTGTATTGAACATTGGAAATAATTTATAAACTTCCAACGTGTGAACCACAAATACCTGGAGTACTACTGGTGGATGCCCCTACAAAGAACCATTCTTCTTGGCTTGTCCAGTGTCACTGACAGGACACCTACTACCCTTAAGAGCTCTGATTGAACTTGGTTCTAAAAATTCAAATGAATTTGGAAAGAAATCATATAGTTTTGATAATAGAAGATATAAAGTATAGAAATGCATTTTTAAGGGAAAAGGAAGAAAGTGAGTTATTCTTCGATTACGTGTATGGTCTTTGTGTGATAATGTGTTCATCTGTGTATTATGTATGGTGCATTTTCTACCTCCAGATGGCATGACTAGGGTGTAATATTTTATTGGCCTAAAGAGATTAAAATATTTATATAAATTAAGCAGGATCCTATGGTCTGGACAAAGTATTTAATATTAAAACCGGTTTAAGTTTAATTAATGTCTTTTAAAGTTATTACCATAAAATATGTGTTTGTTTTACCCGGGTTTTCAAAATGAGTTTATGTTATGGCATTTTGGTTAAGTTGACAACCTTTTCAAAGTTTAAATTTTAAGAGACTCTTTTTAACGGAGAGATGACTTTGGGTCATTCCAAAGGGCCCAGAAATGCCTCAAGGATTTAAGGATTTATTCTCTCTCCTTATAAAAGAAAATTTTCAAACTAATTTGGCCTGTTTAATATGCTTGAAATTACATGGAAAATTTTGCCAAATAATAATATGTTCTATTTATGTGTGTGTGTGTGTATGTGTGTGTGTGTGTGTGTGTGTGTGTGTGTGTTAAAATGGATGTTCTAGAAATTTCAGCCTGCCCTAGGGAGAAACTTGCAAAGATTGTTGTTGTCATTGTTTAAAAAAATAATGACAACAGAGGGATGTGGCTTCTTTAAATTCCAATCACATTGTTTGGATCGGAAGAGGATTTCCACATGGGGAAAAAGCACAGGGGGCAGGAAAATAGGGCTGGTTGGGAAAAAAAAATAGTTTCATTAAGACGGGCTCACACTGATTTATGTTCAAATTCAGGTTTTGTGACTTATCCTTTATGCATGCTACAGGGTAATAAGCCCTATATTGTAAAGCTGTTGGAGGATTGCAAAAGAGAGCATGTGTATACCCTAGGCTGCCCAGAATGCAGGATGCCCTCTATATGTGTTAGACTCCCATGCCCATTCATGTAACCACCTATAATTTCATCCTTAAGGTTAGAATGGTAGAAACCAGGGGCTCTGGCTTCCTCCTCTTTGTCAGTTCCTGCCTTTTAGTTCAAATGTAGATTATGTATTAATGATGGAGAAGCAGAAAGACTTCCCAACCATTCCAATGTATAGCTGACTCCATTAGAGGCTTCACCCTTTAAAGTTCTTTTGGGAGGGAAGGGGAGGCCTTAATTGTGAGGGAAGAGAGGCAGTTCTCAATGAAACTGTCTCCCGACTTGAAAGACCTCTCAATAGTGAATGTACATTGTATCCCAAATTCTTTAATGAGAAAGATGCTTCCCTTTGCAGTAGCAGAGGGAGTAGGGAGCCAAATGAGATGCTAGGCCTACTTTTTCTAAGAACCTGCACAGTATAGTACAGAAATAACTTGAAAATAATAATAATAATGATGATGAAAATTATCTTGGCTGGCCATTGAGGAAGAACAAAGTTGACTGCTTTTTTGAGCATCAGAGAGAATAAGAAATTTTTAACTCTGGAGAAAGACATGAAGTCATATGACCTCTTGAGAAAAAGGAGGGCACTTACTAGAATTTCAGTGTGTAATCCATTCAAGCATGTAATCAACTTTGCTTAAAAACTTGTTCTTAGTGGCACAGTCTAACTGTATTCTACCTCATGGATTTCTGCTTCCTGGCATTTCCATTTCTGTGTTTCTCACTTTTTTTTCCTTTTTCTGTCTGTTTCTGTCGCCTTTCCTCTCATTTATCTTATTCTCTCTTGTCCCCTTTCTCCTATTGAACTCCTTTTCCATGGCTTTATGAGCTTGTCTCATTTTGTAATTCTTTTTCCCTGTCTTTGTCTGAATCTTTGTCTCTCTGCTATCCTTCCATACTGTCCCTTGGTCCCTCTGTCCTCTCTGTGTGTGACTCTCTCCTCAGATTGAATCCCGGAAGCGCCTTGCCAAGACAGTTCTGGTGTTTGTGGGCCTCTTTGCCTTCTGCTGGCTCCCCAACCATGTCATCTACCTGTACCGTTCCTACCACTACTCCAAGGTGGACACCTCCATGCTCCACTTTGTCACCAGTATCTGTGCCCGCCTCCTGGCCTTCACCAACTCCTGTGTCAACCCTTTTGCCCTTTACCTGTTAAGCAAGAGTTTTAGGAAGCAGTTCAACACCCAGCTCCTCTGTTGCCGGCCTGGCCTGTTGACCCGCTCTCACAGCACTGGCAGAAGTACCACCTGCATGACCTCCTTCAAGAGCACCAACCCTTCCGCGGCTACCTTCAGCCTTATCAATGGAAACATCTGTCACGAGGGGTATGTCTAGACTGACCTTTGAGCCTGCCCCCTTGGAGACCCCTGGTTTTGCTTTATTGCTAGTAAGAAGCCCTCACATACATTGTTGTCTCTGTACCTTCTAAAGACCCTTTGTAAGGCTCAGGAGCGGTATAGGCATGTTGGGGAGAGGCCTAAATGGATCACTATTATGTTTGAAAGGCCCATCAAGGCTTACCTTTTCAATTACAATGTGTTAATACTTCTTCTGATGTAGAGAAAACTTTACTTTTTTAAGAAAAGAGACCAAACAGAAAATTATTATTTTAAACATCAAGTCCTGATATACAGATGTGGCCAATTAAGTCATAGAAATGACATGAAGAACCAAATTTATACAGCAGAAAAATTATACATTGAATGTTCACTCCATGAAAGACTTCACCTTGTCATTTCTTTAAGCAGAAGCTAGTGCTTTCAGAATATTATTTGAGTTGTATTTCAGGAATGTTTATAATCACAAAGCAAGAAAGTTTTTTTGACACTAATAATATGAAAAGTAAACCCCATGGAAGAGTTCCGTATATGAAGGACAGTCCCCAAATTGATAACACTGGAAGCCATTCCAAGACAATCCAAATGTTTGACATTACTGAGGACATTGGAGAAACACTCAAGACATAATTTTAAGGTAAAAACAACCAAACACATAGACACATATGTAAAGATCCATGTGTGGCTGTGGAGTAATATATCACCTTCTGAATTCTAAATTGATGGAAGTTCCTTTTGTTTTTGCCCAATTGTAATCAGTTCCACCATAGTAGACAAATCCTTTGGGGGAGGAGGGGTTTGAATTGATCATGTATCAATTCATCAAATGTTGTAAGTGCATAAAGTATAGTATTTATTTTTGGTATAGAGGATTTTTAGTCAAATGTATTAATTTAGATTTGCTTGTCCTTATCTGCTACATTGAAGCAGTAGCTTCATATGAGAAAAAAGGATCATTATCTGAGTGAAAATAGAAACATGTTTACATTTAACAAGTGCTTCACCTATAGTCTATGGGAAGAAATTAATACAATTTCAGTAATATGTATTTCTATCTGAATAGGTATAACAAAGTTATGGGGGGCTTAGCTTTAAAAACTGATTAAAATAGCTACAGATATATTGTTTCTACTTAAGAGTATTTACAAAACAGCCAATGTGCAGAAAAATAGTGGACTTAAATATTTTTCTTTTTATAAATGAGTAAAAGGATTTGACTATCTTACTTTAGAAACCTGAATCAAGTTTGTTTGTTTGTTTGTTTTTGGACAGGCCAATTTGACAGATTGCAAACATGTTAATGATAAATCCAAATTCTGCAAATGTGCCCTAATGTGTATCCTTACACTCTAAGATCATTTTAGTTCTAGTCTTCTCTACACAGGTGAGATAGAACAATCAGCTCTCTTTTGCACGTGACACATATTGAAATATTTTTGTCTCTTGATACAAGGAAGCACTCACTGTCTGCAGAGTTTTAGAACTTAGGACCAAAACAGTTGTAAAGATTTGTGTTTACAGTTGCATTAGCTGGAGTGAAACTGCTTCACTTCTGTTTGCTGCATACACTTATATACTGGACACACCTGCTTTCCTGGTATTTCACAATTACACTGGACAGTTTCAAAAGCAAGACAGGTGGTGTAGGTGAAAGAACCAAGATTTTTAGCTTGACATTCCAACTCTGTCTCTAGCTATCAATATCCCTTCTCTAGACTCATTTTTTTCATCTCTAGAATGAGAGGGCAGTGCTAAGGTCCCTTCTATTGCTAAAATCCTCCAAGTATCATCATTGTTTCTAGTTCTGTGTCTAAAGCATTTATGGAGCCCACCTCCTCACAGTTGCCCCACTTCTGCTACCCTTGCAACAATTTCTCTTGGAAAATCCTTCAACTTCCACTCCACATTCATGTTCACATTCATGGAATGGAAGGAGATGGACTGTTCTGTTCTATCATTTCCAGTGACTCCTTGGAATAATTTGTATGAATGATGTCCCATTAGCTTGTTATATTTTGGAATTAGAGCTAAAAGAGACATAAGAAAACACATTGCTCAATCTCCTCATTATACAAAGGGCACTCTTCCTATTCAACCTTCTTCAGTCTCCATGCACCTGCTACCTTGAACCACTGCTCCACAATTTTACCCTTGGCTTTCTTCAAAACTCTTGAGTGTAAGTGACTTCATTCCTAGTTAGTTGTTAAGGAGTATAGCATTCTGGGTACCTAGTATAACTTGTTCAAGAATCTCTGATCTACCTGCTTCCACAGACATTTTTGGAGTAAGACTCCTCTTAATGTCTCATTTTGTTACTGTCATTACATGGATTGTGTCAGGTCTCCTCCCCCGCTTTTGAGCAAACAGTGAGGAGATTGAAGTCTAGGTTTGGCGGTATGTCCTTAGGCAAATCCTATAACTTTTTTGAGACTCTTAAATGATAGGATTGGAGGAGGCCTTTGCCAGCCAGTGACCTAGGACAGGTAAAACTATTGTGTGAATCAACTGATGGATTGGCTCAAAGCTAATTGAGGTGGACTTAACTGGGCTCTTCTCTACGGAAGTCAAAATTTTATTTCACCACAAGAACCCAAAATCACAGTGAGAGAGACTCACACTCTCATTTGGTATCACCTCTCTTCTAGGGTGGAGTGTGGTAGAGGCTTGGAACTAAGACATTTCATGCCTGGCTTCCAAAGATAATCACATTTAGCGCTTATGTCGTTGGCAAGGAGAAAAAATCAATTTTTGCTGTGGAAAACCATCTGTGTTTATTCAATTGACAGACACTACCTTTCAATCTATCTTAAATTGAGCCTCCCTGAGGCAAGCAGCTCAATAGTGATAGATTAAGCAATAAACAAAGCAGTCTTCCCACCAATGGCTGCTGCTGGCAGGGAAGGTGCTGAGGCTGGTAGGAGCAATATTCTATAGCAAGATGATCCTCCCAGCTTGGTGAAGACAAGGCTCCTCCTGTTGTTGATTTGATGATTCCCCATAAATGGAGATGGCTAAACCCTGTTGTTCTGACTATGTTCACTTCCCCACTGAACCTGGCCTTCTGCCTCATTAACAAGTCCTGGATTTACCACTTTGCCCTATAAACATTTTGGTGTCATCTTGAAGAATGGAGAACCCTTAGGTAATTAAACAGTTTAGAAGCTGCTCACGTGAACCAATCTCAGCTTGTTATGAAAATACACACTGAACAAAAATAAATGAATTTGTCCATAGGACATGGGCACACTTAAGTTATAAAGTTTTTGTTTATGCCAAAAGTAGCAGTTAGTTATTGGTTTCAAAGTCGATTCATGCACCAAATGGCTTCCATAATAGAGATTAGCTTTGTTTGGAGACTATATGTTGAATGACATTCTCAATCTGTGGATTAAAAAATGGCTAAGTCACTTTTCCCAGAAGCTAGATAGAGATGATCACTCTGAAAACCTGACTATATGGAAGTAGAATGAATAGTATGCACTTGTGTTGTGATGAGTTGGAAGGGATGCAAATTTTCTTGTCATTTGGGCCCTTCACATCCACACCAGGAGTTAGCCATTGTCAAGAGTAGCTTAGAATTAACCCTGGGTTCCTGGGAGGAATGGAATACATTCTGCACATTTGTCTAATTTTTTACGGAATTTTCATGAAATGAAGTAACAGCTGACAACAACGGAATTATTTATTCTCCTGGGACCAGGCTTTGTGTGAGCTAGTCAATGAAACCAAGCCCTAACAAGCTGTGCTTTATTCTGTATATAAATGATAATTCCTCTCAGCCCTTCACCTGGATATATTCCTCTGCATATATTCCAGCTGAATATATCTAGAGCAATAAACAAATAGCACATCCAGAACAGACTCTTCTCTTGTGAAACTTCATGTTAAAAATGCAGTTACTGGAATTTATCTAAACTTTTTAAAAGTTTAACAGCCCCTGGGTTAAAATATTACATGTCCACAATTAATTCAAAAAATACTTTGCATTTAACTAGAGTTCATGGTCTATAAAGCACTTTCATACTCATTGCCTCATCTAATCCAAGCCTTCCCTGCTGACCAAATAGCTGCTTTACATCATTGACCATGTAAATTTGCAAATGACATTTACTAGTGACCATCTACTATTAGATTAAAATGCTTATAAAATCATAAGACTGAAACATGTGAAACTGCAGATATTGGACCATATTTAAACTACAAAAAGGTGATTTCATATGGTTCAACTTAATCTGGTTGCATTCATTCTCATGGCTCGTTCTGTGATATTTAAAAACAGAGCTTATCATTGCTCTCCCAGTTACAGGATAGTCTGTCATCCCCAAAGCAAATCTGTTTAACTTGGCACAAAAGAGTGAATGGTGTCATTGTTGGTTGCCCCAGGAGAGGCATATTAGTGGAAATAGCATTCTGCATCACAATGAAGTAGAAGGCTAAAATAAGAAGGGCGGGATCCTTGGGAGCAAAAACACAAACTACAAAACACATCATATTTATCTGAAACATGAATGGAGTTCTGTGGCTCTAGAAGTGCTGGAAGAAAAGGGCTCAACTTCACCATGCACCAATGACATGCCAAATGCAGTACTAAGCACATTGATATTCATCCTCACAAGCACCTTGAAGAGTATTCAAATGATGAAGCTGAGGATCAGGGAGGTTACTTCATGATCTCAAGGTTACATGGCAAATTGAATGGGAGAGCATTAATGTGGACCTGGATCTCTCTTAAGTCCCATCTGTTACTCAGCATTGCTTCCCAAATCCAGCCCATGTGAGAAATTAAGTTCACAGTACCTAATAGTCCCGTTCCCTACTTTAGATTTTGTTCTAAGGCTTGAACTAGTGATAAAGTCAAAAAAATATACACAAAGAGCATAAAGATGTTTCTAAGCACCTAGAGACTCAGGACAGCTGAGTAACCTCTAACAGACTAAGGGACCAAATCATGAGCTCAGATTTAAGTGCCTAGCCCAAAGTGCCCCATCATAAACTCAGATACCACCATTTCTCTGCCCTCTCTATATTCATGTTCTAGGAGA